ATTGGGCCTTCTTTTGGTCGACCAGGTAGAGGGGGCGACCTCAACGCTTGCTTCGTATTTGATGCGGATTGGGCGAGGTCAGGTTCGCTGGTCATTGCTTTGGGGAGCGTACTTGAGACGAGGTCGATACCATGACGATCGATTGGTCAGATTTCTGAACGATACAAAAGTAATTACTAGTAAAATGATATCTTCTTATTTTGAAATATATCTTTCGAGTAAATATTATTAATGTGGCACGAAATTTATTTAAGAAACGAAGGGGGAGGGGGTATTGAATTTTTTTCTAAATTAGATGATATTTAAGAAATTCGAAAGTTTAGTGGGTAACGTGGCATACCACATCATCTTTCTGGCACAGGAAAGTTAATTTTTCGATTCAGTTTTTGAAAAAGTTTGATTAAATTGAGTGACTTTATCATTGAAGAAATTGATACTTTTTTTACAACTTGAATGATCATTTGAATAATCAGCTCTTTTGAGTATGGAGGAAACTCTAGCTTAGTACTAAACGACCACACTGGCGTGACCCAATTTTGGCCACACCAGTGAAAATACATAGATGACCCTCTAACTAATTAGCCTATATTTTTCCCTCGAAAACCCAAAATTAAATTCCAAGTCTTGAAGTATGCGAAAATTAAATGTTGGGAGATGAAGAGTCTTGTGTATTTTCCTTGTATTTATGTGTATGTTATACAAATTATACGTTTTTTAATTTTTAACAAATTATTGTATTTTCTTAAAAACAAATACGGTATACGATTTTGTATACTTCCTCCTTACCAAACCCTAAACCAGCGGACACTTTCCTCCTTGCCTATCCCTAAACCAGCAGACACTTTCTCCTTCTCTAAAAATGGATTCAAACCAAGAAAATTTGGCGGTGCAACAAAATATGAATCCAAATGAACATGACGCAAATACAACAACCATGAATATCAACCAAGATAATAGGTTTGATCGAGTTAGGGACGAGTTGTACAGATCTTTAGGGATGACATCGGACGATAGTTTGTTGAATGAATACGAATGGGTCGATGTTGATTCTCACGACAGTTTCAACAATGCTGTGCACTTAGACAGTGGCGGATCCAGAATTTTAAAGTGATGGGTGCTCGCCGATAAAAATCCGAAAGAAGAGGAAAAAAAGTTTAGTTATGGGTGCTCGCTCTATATTTATCAAACTATTTTTATAATTGTCTATGCAAATTTACTAAATCCGGTTAAAAGTAATGGGTGCTCAAGCACCCATAAGTAACAATGTACATCCGTCACTGCACTTAGATGATGATGATGAAGAAGCCGATGCTGCTGTGCACTTAGATAATGATGATGAAGAAGCCGATGAAGAATATCACGGAGAAGCTACGATGATGAGGAGCAGGTTTTAGGAAATGAATTAGAGTTATGTGATGTTGATCGGGAAGCAGAGAATGAATTCACTAAAGAGGATGTGGTTGTAGGTTTAATCTCTGGAATGCGATTTAGAGATAAAGATACTTTGTTTGCATTCTACAAAGAACATGCACGACTGAGAGGATTCTCCGTCATCAAAAGAAATTCCAACAAGAAGGGTGGTGACACTGCCAGGTATATAACCTACTGTTGTGATAGGACTAGGATTCGCAAAATCAAGTTTACTACCAAGAGTAACAATTGTAAAGCTAGGCTAGCTGCTGTTTTGGATGATTCTGGTTGTTGGGGCATCTCTAAGGTCATTCACGATCACAATCATGAATTTCTCCCATCCGTATCGCGCCTGATGACCGGACATAGGTCTGTTTATGATTCTTTGAAGTTGGATCTTGTAGCTCACGATCGATCTGGCATTAGACCCTCCAAGAATATTAGACTTGCTGAGGTTCAACGTGGTGGACCGAAAAATTTGGGTTGCACTCCAAAGGATTGTAGAAATTATATTTTGAAGAGTAGGAATTTTGAAATGCAAGAAGGGGACGCACAATAGCTGCTCAACTTTTTTCGTGAAATACAGGTAAAGGATAGAGAGTTTTTCTATTCAAACGACGTTGATAATATTGGTAGGCTGCGAAATGTGGTATGGGTGCATTCACACTGTAAGGCAGCATATGAGTAATTCCATGATGCGATATGCTTTGATACAACGTACCTTGTGAATCGATATAATATGCCATGTGCTTCATTTGTTGGCATCAATCACCATAGACAGTCCATCTTACTAGGATGTGCTCTCATGTCTCATGAAGATATCGATAGTTACAAATTAGTTTTTAGAACTTGGCTTGATGCCATGGGAAATGTTCATCCGGATGCGATCATAACTGATCGGTGTCAGAGCATTAAGGTAGCCATTGCTGAAGTGATGCCAAATACAATACATAGGTATTGTATTTGGCGTATATTCTCAAAGTTGCATGTTTACTTAAGTGGTGTTCGTCCTTCTAAAATTGCACGTGCAGAATTTAAATCCATGGTCCTTGATAGCATTACTATTGAAGTTTTTGAGAGAAATTGGACAGAATATATTGCAAGGTATAATTCGCATACAAGGAATTGGTTCATCAAGCTTTACTCTGAGAAGGAAAAATGGGTTCCTGTGTACCTTGATGTGTATTTTTGGGGTGGTATGCTAACTACGCAAAGAAGTGAGGGGATGCATGCGTTCTTTGATGGATATATTACCCGTCAAAGCACATTAAAGTACATTCACTAGTATGAGTTAGCTATAAGAGCTAAGCATGAGAAAGAGTTGGAAGCGGAATACAAGTCAAAGGGCTTTCAAATTGTGTGTGAGTCAATGTTCAAGTGGGAGCAGCAGGCAATTCAGTGTTATACGTGTACAGTGTATGAATTTTTCAAGACACAACTAAGGAAATTGTATCATTGTGAAGTCAGCAGCGCCGACGATCATCAAGTTGTCCCCGGTGTTGAGAAATTCATCGTTAGTGATTATTAGTAATAACAAAAAATAATGGAAATCCAGTTGAGTACACTGTTGAATATATACCTGTCACGCCCAAAAAATCGAGGGACATGACCGGCGCTCGACCGAGTAGCCCCAGTCAAGCGGACCTGGGTGCCTTTCCTATCCCACGTGTTACCCCGTGTTTTCATTTCTCATTAATCAAAAGAAATAGCCATTATAATTAAAACACCTTTTTACGAAATATACATAACAAACATGGTTACTTAGCGTGGTTTACAACATACATCGCCCAACATACAAAATACATATTACATAAGTTCATAACCCACAATTCCTGTCTACGGAGCCTCTAAGGATACCAAAGGATGATACAATACTTGCCGGTAATAAGGCTCCGGCTATACATTACACAAATACCAAAACAAGACTTCCAGAATAAAAGCGGCATGAGCCACGCAGGGCCCCGAGAGGAAAGGGGCTCACCAATTCAGCTGACGAGAAGTGAAGGGGTGCTACGGTCGGTGGACTGGAGTACCTGCTATGGATCCACCTACAATCATAACACGAATGTAGCGCCCCCCGGCAAAAGGGACGTCAGTACATTTGAATTGTACTAGTATGTATGAACAAACTTTGCCCCAAGTAAACTCAAACCATACACAAGTAACGAGCAGTAATGGAATCAACAATCAAATACACATGAAAGGAACAATCAAGCCAAACAAGTTTACAATCTCTCTTTTTTCCCCTTCAATATTATCACATCAATGATTTCACAATTTTCTCATATTTTCATTTCAATAGTGATTTCGATCACTTTCCACTCTTATTACCTCGGCCACCCTTATCACCACAACCCACACCTTATTACTTCGTGTTGCGGGGCGCAACCCGATTCCACCGACAATCACAATTCACAAACAACAACAACAACAACAACATCAACAATTCACAAGGAACAACAACGACAACAACAACAATTCACTAAGAATTTCCATGACCATCAATACCATTTCCATCATGTTCAACAGCTCATATGCAATTTAAATCACATCGATAATTACCCATGACAAGCCATATATGTTATTACCACATTTGTTTCGATTGCATCAATTACGATTTCTTTCCATCATTTGTTTCCCAGCTCTTCCCACATAAACACATTCACACACACACACATTTGGTTTGTTGCCAATTACTTGCACCATTATATCGGGAGACTTAACCACGAACACCCAAAGCATACCAATCACAAGAATTCCACAAATAGTCCACATAGATATCACATACCAAATAGTCGTACACCAAACAAAGCAACTTTACAAAGGTCAAAGTTAGCCATACATACCTGGAGCCGAATTCCCTTTTAACTTCTACTTTCAATTCACCAAACAGTCTAGCAACGTCAATCTAGTGCACAAGTTAACACATATATCTTAGAATTGAAGTTCACAATTACTACCCGAACATAATTAGGTTATCAGCCCTTCTTTTGCAAACCTCTACTTCTACCCAATTTCCCTTACTAGGTTTTAGGTTTTAAAAGACATGCATGTACATCTTCACCCTTTACTTTCAAGAATCAATGCATGAGACTCCCCCTTTATGTTTAAACCTGAAAATCAATGAAAAAGGGTTGGGGATTTTACCTGCAAGAATGGAGATGAAGACAATTACTTGAAATCTCCCGGCCCGGATAGTTTTGAAGAATCAAATTGATGAAGATGAACTTTCTCTCTCAAGAACCCTCTCTTCCCTCTCTCTTATTTTGTTTAAAAAACTGTTAAAATGAGGGGTTGGGGTGTTTTATTAAAAAGGGGGGTCGGGTTTAAAATTTAGAAAAATAGGAACCCGAGTCAGGTATGCGGTCGCAGAGACAAAATGCGGTCCGCAGAATGGACCGCAAAAGTGCTCCAAAAACCTGATCCTACTGTTTGGGTTTGCGGCGGAAATGCGGTCCGCATACCCGATTTGCGGTCGCATAATGCACCGCATTTTTGACCTCAAATTTGACTGACACATTGACTCACTTTGCGATACAAATACGGTCCGCATATCAGTTATGCAATTGCATAATGGACCGCATTTTGACCTCAATTTTAACCAAACTACTGACTCAATCTGCGGCAGAAATGCGGTCCGCATACTTGATTTGTGACCTCATTCCGGACCGCAAAATAACACTTTTCTGAAAAACTTTTATTCTTTAATTTTTGAATGCTTAGATCAGTACAAAGGGTCCAGACCGCTCGCCGCGAAGAATCTTACACATTCCCAACACATATTCGGAACCTGACCCTTCGAGCTACTAGGTTTTGAGCACAAATTTTCATGGGGCCTTACAATACCTATCGGGTATTATTTTAGTTGCAGCTGCAAATGGTTCGAGTCTGGAGGGATACTTTGTTGCCATATACTGAAGATCTTGTCGCACAAGAAGATTGATAAAATTGATGAAAGGTACATACTGACAAGGTGGAGAATCGATGTTATTAGGCCACACTTGAATCGGTTCCATCAAGTTGGTTACCCAACCATGACGCCTGAGTATAAGACATACAAGAGCATGTTGAAGTATTTTGACATGGCTTGTGATATAGCACTGGCACTAGCGTGAAGGTTCAATATGTTAAGCATAATTTGAAGAAAATAGTGCATGATCTTCAAAACTGGGACGACAAAATAATCGTGCCAAACCAAGACCAGGATACACTCAGATGACAATGTTGATGGAATAACTCTACGAGATCCCCAGTACACTAATTCACGTGGCAGGCCGCGTTTGAATTGATGTAGAGGAAGAATTGACTACTACTTTACACGTTCACAGCCGCGTGGTGTATTTGGAGCTAGTAATGGCGCAAGAACTGGTGTTAAAGGGGGTGGCAGGGGTGGTGGCAGGATTGGTGGAAATCGTGGTGGTAGAGGTGGCGGTAGAAGTGGTGGACGTAGGGATAGGGGTAATGGGCAAGGCAGAGGTACAAACATTGAGCATGATGGTTCCCTAGGTGTGAATGAGGTACAATTTTGCGACTACATTTGATTTATTACTTAAATATATCATGTTTTCTTATAGTGTTTGTTTGATTTTAATTGCAGCAAATTGACGCTACATGTCACGACCCAAAATCCACTAAGGGTTGAGATGGCGCCGGACACTGCTGTCAGGCAAGCCAACCGAATTACTTAATCAAAATCTCGTTTTAATACTTTTGAAATCTAGGATTTTTCCTTCAAGTTTGGCAATTTAAAGAATATAGTCTCAAATAAAATTTAAATGATAAGCAGCAAATACCTTATTTCAAACCATCCCAGAACCCGGTGTCACAAGTGCATGAGCATCTACTGATAAGGAAATAAAATACACTTCCATCCGGAATACAATGGACAGGAAATAAATACAATGTACTGAAGAGGACTATACTAGCTGCGGGCCGCCTCGAATAATGCAACTCCCCTAGCCCCCAAAACATCCGCGCTGCTACGCCCAGTGGCTGCTAGAGATAAATATACATGTGCAACAAAAATGCACAGAAGTGTAGTATGAGTATGTAATCAACGTGTACTCAATGAGTATCCCGCCTAATCTCGAAGAAGTAGAGACGAGATGGTCAACTTTGACACTTACTAGTGGTCCAATAATAATATGGTGAAGATATGAGGAAAACATGGATTTTGTCTAGCAATTATAGCTCATAGAGCAAGAAAACAGGTAACACCTTCTCAAATAATAAGGAAAATTCCAAGATTTACTTTTCGTTATCTTTATTAGTTTATAGCGGGCCATAAAAAGGCAATATCAACATCAATAAGTTTTAGGATAAGCAATGCAAGCATGCGCATATTATGCCGAGGCGACGGCCCGATCCAACAGAAATAAACTGTGCACTTGCCGAGGGTCGACGACGCGCCTATAGTGCATCTATTTAATCTGCCGAGGCGTTCGGCCCGTTCCATAATTAAAAACATACCCTGCTCGCGAATCATGCATGCGACGCAGGTACACATAGAGATACATGCTCAATCAGTCAATTAAGAACTTATCGGGAATATTTATCCAA